TACATTTTATTTTTAGCATTATGTATTTCTTTACAATGTGCTTTTAGTATCCTTATTATTATATTATCTATGTTTACATCTAAGAATAATAGTAAAATACAAAAATAATAACTCATTACGTTTCAATTTTTCACTTCAAAAATATGTCTTCAGTGGGTTTAAATCTAACATGGGAATATATAATTTTAGATGCGGCCCGCGGTGTTACGATGCATTTCCACAGTGGCCCGGAAGATCATTTGGGTTGGCCACCCCTGGCATAGTGTGGAGGACCCTGGAGTGTGTTTAGGTCGAATAGTGTGTTTCTTTATCTTACGTCAGCCTGTCTATGAATAGTATAAGATTGTAAAAAATGTCAACCACGAAAAATTCGCCAATCACGATGTCACCAAAATGACCTAAAAACCTAATTGCTACATAGGCTATGGCCAACGTAAGACTATAGGCTTTATTTAAACTGCACCCCTCTTTACCTTGATTTCTACCCCGTAATCTCTTTCTAATTAATTAAATAATAACCTTATCTTTATTGCCACCAGATGGCGCAAATTTAGTTTAGTTATTAAATTACTCAATTACTTGAATTGAATTTTTATTTAAAAAATTACTTGTATTTCTTCTGCTAATTCAAATCTGAAGATGCTGATATTATAACAAAAAAATGTTTGAGAATATTTTTGTTTTTATTTAAATTCACTTATTGCTACTTTACGGAATTTACATATATTTTTTTACTTATTAATTTTTTGAAAACTCTAATAAAACTATTTAATACTATTTTTATTATTTAGAAGATAGAATTTATATGTATATAAATTTATTTATATATTCTGTTTTTAAGATTGGTCCTCACGATAACACATAAAATAACTAAAGCAGGTTGCATTTTTAATGAAATACAGAAAATAGTAATTATTAATAATACATGAATTATTATGAATAAATTAATTATAAATGTGAAGTTATTCTTTAAAAAAATTAATTTACTTTTTCTACTATGGACATAACTTAGCATTTTTAAACGGCTCTACACCGTAGAAGGGAAAAGTTTTTTAAAATAGCAAATTGCGAACAGGGATAATAAAGTGGACCCCCCCCATATCCAGTCAACCCTTGTCGTTAGAGTTGGAGAGGGGGTCAAGGTTACTGTTATTATAGTACGAGCAGAAGTCGCCGCTTGCTCGCGACTAACTAAACGCGAAACCAGGGGGACCTTTAGAATCCCTCGTGTTTAGCTCTTTGGGAGAATCTCAGTCAACGCAGATAAAAGCCAGGCAATTATTTTTAGAAAAGGTAATGCTTCAACCCCAGTGATGAATTATACCTAATTGACGAACCAATAGATTGAGTTTCTGAAGTGCAATACTTAGGTCTTATTATAGATAAAAAAAAATTAAATTTCACTAGTCACGTTAATCATATCAAAAATAAAGGCTAGAATAAAATTCATTTCAATCTCCCACTTTTATGAAAATATTCAACTCTTTTTTTAAAAAATAAAATTCTCCTTAAGATGATTGGCTCCGCCCGGGACCGAACCGGGGACTTTTCGCATGTAAAGCGAACGTGATAACCACTACACTACGAAACCGGCGGGATAAGATTATTACAGAGTGGTTAAGCATAAGTGAAATAACTACTATAAGTCTATTCTAACACATTGCCGTCGTTAGTTACACATGTAACCAAAGATTATAATGTGGCAAATTAATATTTTAATTAAAAAATATTTGTAAACTTCAAGGATATTAATTAAAATTGTAAATAAGTAACTTAACTCTTTTTTGATTGCGTCACGAAATTCATACTATATATGCTATCCTGTTCATAAAAAAACCACTCCCAAGTGTCAATGATTTGGTCCTGAAATTTTTAAGTACACGATAAATGAGGAAAAATAGTCTTTTAGTCCATATGTTTTTTTTTGCTTTTAATTTGAATAATAACCAAATAATTCTTAGCTACCCGTTTTCAACTAGCTATTCGACCTATATATTATTTATCATCTTTTAGGCCATGCCATAAATTTCAATAAAATAAAATGAAATTATTCATTATTAATTTTTGTCATATTTAATCGTTTTCTATCAATTTGATCATGTTAATTCTTTTAGCATATGAAAAAATTAATTTATTTAAGTTTTATTTTAAGATCTTCTTTTAAATTCTCAACATTAGATGCATGCCACTGCAAACCATTTGTAAAATGAGACAGATGATTTCAGGGTTACTCATTCTTCGACGAAGTTTGCGAATAATTCTGGCAACTGACAGTTCCCAGAATTGTTCACGAATCGTCTGTTGAGTTCCATTTTGTCATCCAATCATCATCATCTGAATTAATATTAAGTTCCTTAATAGATTTGGCTGTGTACTTAATGTTAGTTCAGACTATATAAATAAAAGTTTTATATCAAAAAAAAATATTGATAAATTTTTTTAAACAAATAATTTTTCCACAGAAAAAAGAAAACTAGAAATTTTAAAATTAATTAAAAATTCATTACAATTAAAACCAGTTGCAAATGCAGAGAAAAAAAAGTTAATAATATTTTAACTATTCTTTTATTTATATATAAGAAAAGGGAAAAACATTTTTAATAAATATTAACTATAATTGACTAGTTGGCATGATAAAAACTAAGTTGCATGTTGCAAGAAAAGAGAGAAAAAATTGTAGTTGCAATTAAAATAGTTAGTTCCGCCCGGGGATCGAACCGGGGACCTTTCGCGTGTAAAGCGAACGTGATAACCACTACACCACGGAACCCACAGAACAGTCTTCATACATAGTACATAACTTCATTCTAACATATTGCTTTCATTAGTTGCGCGTGCAATCAAAGATTATATTGTGTGATATTAAAATATATATATATTTGTAGACTTCAAGGATATATTAACGAATGTTTTAAATAATTAACTTTTAATTCTTTTCTTTTCTGGTGCATTCATACACAGCAAATATCATGTTCATAAAAAATTACTCTTTAAAAAGTGTTAGCGATATAGCCCAGAAAATTTTAAGTATACAATGGAAGAGGAAAATAGTCTTTTTTAGTCCATATTTTTATTGCTTTGAATCTGAATAATATCCAAAAAATTTTTTAGTTATCCGTTTTCAATTAGCTACTCGACTTGTATTATTTTACCACCTTTAAGGCAATGCCATAAATTTCATCAAAATAAATGAATTTATTAAACATTAATTTTTGTCATATTTAATTGTCTTTATCAGTTTTGATCATGGTAAAATTAATCATATGAAGCTTAACCATATGAAGAAGCAAATAAGCACTTAAACATATGAAGAAACAAATCGAAATTTTATTTTTAAGGTTTTATTTAAATTCTCAACATTAAAAACATACTTCATAGATGCATGCCACTTTGCAAACCACTATAAAATGACACAGATGATTTCAGGTTATTCATTCTCTCAATTGGTTCGTTCTTCAATTGAATACCCCTGGCAACTGACACTTGTTCTAATTGCCAGAATTGTTCACGAATCGTCTGCCGAGTTCCATTTGTATCCCTTAATCTTATCATCAGAATTAATATTAAGTTTTAAGTTCTTAATAATTTTTGGTAAGTAATTAATGTTAGTGCAACAATAAAAATAAAGTTTTATATTAAAAAAAAACTGTTGGAGAAAATAGTGGAAGAAAAATTGAAATTTTTTGAAAGAAATGAATTTTTTAACAGGAAAATAAAGCAAAAATTTTTTAATTAATTAGAAATTCAGTAAAAATTAAAATCAGTTGCAAATGCCAAGGAAAACTTTTAAAATTATATTTTAACTATTTTTTTATTTATGTAAAAGTTAATCTTTTTAATAAATCCTAACTATAATTTATTCGTCGGCATGATAAAATAATTATAATAATTAATAATTTTGGCTTTGAAATTACTAGTAGTGCAGCCAATAAAATAAAAGTTTCGTATTTAAAAAAAAAAAAACCATCATAAAAATTATAAAAGAAAAATTGAATTTTTTCTTTTTTAAAGAAATGAATTTTAACAAAAAAATAAAATAAAAATTTTACAATTAATTAAAATTCAGTACAATAATCAAAAGATGAAATGCCAAGAAAAACATTTTTTTAATAAATCCTAATTATAATTCACTAGTCGTTATGATAAATTAAATTGCATGTTGCGGCAAAAGAGAGAGAGAAAAAAAAAAAAAAGAAGCTTATGGTTGGTTCCGCCCGGGATCGAACCGGGACCTTTCGCGTGTGAAGCGAACGTGATAAATCTCACTACACTACGGAACCCGCGAGAACAAACTGCTGTAGTGTGGATTACTATAAGTGGAATAAAGACTATAATGGATTTTAACATATTTCCTTCTGTTAGTAGCACGTGCAATTTAACGTGGCAAATTAATATTGAAAAAAAATATTTGTAAACTTCAAGGGATATTAAAATAAAATTTTAAATAATTACTTTAACTCTTCATTTTTTTTGGGAAAGTTCATACCATAGCAATATCGTGTCTATAAAAAAAACACGCCTTTTTAAAAAGTTTATAATATAGTTCTGAGAATTTTAAGTATATAAGAAAAATTGTCTTTAAATACTGTACATGGAATGAAAGAAATCTTAACTGTGTGTATTAAAACTGTGTATCCATATCTAACACTACATGTATGCTCAAATGAGTACATGAGTCTAAATACGATTTTATTTATTTTAAAAGATCTTATGTTTGAGAGGAAAATATATACGTAATGCTTTTTATACGAGTTGTTGTTGTTGTTTCTTATCCCACTTATTACGTACCATGAAAGGGAAGGAAGCAGCTTCTGTTGTGATGGAGCACCCGTTAGAAGTCTGACTTGGAGAAGTCATAGGAGACCGGAACCTACGGCTTAAAGTGGATTCCGAACCACTACAAACATCCATGGCACCGCCGGGATTCGAACCCGAAACCTTGGCACCGAGCGCCAGAGCGCTAGACACTCGGCCATTCAGGTCCCAAATGTGTGAATGCCAACGGCACGCGGTGCTCCCAGGTGGTCACCCACCCAAGTAACCGCGCCCAATGATGCTTGACTTCGGTGATCTAACGAGAACCGGTATAATTTATAAAATGAATTGCACATACTATTATTATTAAGTTGCTTAATAACTTTGGCTGTGTAATTAGTGCAGACAATTAAAAATAAAAAGTTTTACATTAAAAAAACTATCGTGAAAAACTATAAAAAGAAAAATAGAAATTTTTAAAGAAAATAAATGAATTTTTAACAGAAAAATAAAGTAATTTTTTTTAATTAATTAAAAATTCAGTACAATTTAAAACGAGTTGCAATCGCCAAGAACATGCCATAGCAAAAGAGGGGAAAAACCCTCTTCCAGTTATCTTTGGTTCCGCCCGGGATCGAACCGGGGACCTTTCGCGTGTAAAGCGAACGTGATAACCACTACACTACGAACCAGCGAGAACAGCTAATTACAGAGTGGATTCTTTTTGTGACGTCAAGAACTTCATACTACAGCAATATCATGTTATTAAAAAAAAACCACTTTTTAAAAATTGTCAACAATATAGTCCTGAAAATGTTAAATATACAGAGGAAGAGGAAAATAGTATTTTAACATATATGTTCAAAATGAGAAAACTAAATATGATATTGCTTGTTTTTAAAAGGGAATTGAAATACTACTTAGTATAATCTCAAATATCAATACTAATTGAATCAATAATGGAGGCAAGTAGCAAACAATCAAATACCAAAAATAATAAATAATATATCGAGAAATAAAGTTGAATAAACTCTACGTGCATTATTTTATTTTTAAACAAACAACAAGAGTCTGTAAACTACCCAGACAATGATTATAATTACCTATTTCGAGAATTCCCTTTACATTTATGGATATTAACAAAAAATGTCCCATTTTAAATGTGTTCAACACAAATAAATAGGGTTTTTGCTAGATAATGCGATAATAATGCATTAAAATATTCAAGCCTATTTTATATCAACACACATTTGTTAACAACATTTTCAGGCCTAAATATTAAAAAAAAAAAAAATTATTTATAAAAACTACTTGACTAATTACTCTGTACATATCAGTTACTATGTGCCTATATAAATTGATTTACGAAAATCTCGTCATCTTAAATACTATATGTGATTATGATTACTAAGCATGTAAAATTATTGTTAGTTGCTTGTGTTAAAGATAGATTGAAAAAATTAAAATTTACTTAAATGATAAATAAAAGTCAATTACTTTTAGAACTTTTAGTTTTTTACAATCAAATAATCAATTATTATGTGCCTATATAAATTAATTTAAGAAAAACATTTTTCATCTTAAACTATATGTGAATACAATTACTAAAGGCGAAAGTGTGTGCTATACTTATATTAAAGATAGAACGAAAAATTAAAAATTTACTTAAAAGATAAGTAAAAAGACAATTACTTTTAGTCTTTTTACAATCAAATAATCAATTACTATGTTCCTATATAAATGAATTTACGAAATTCTAAATCTTAATTATATGGAAACTATAATTACTAAGGCTGCAAAATTATTGCTAGTTATTTATATTAAAGATAGATTAAAAAAATTTACTTAAATGATAAATAAATTCAATTATATTTATATCTTCCGGTTTTTAGATCTTTTAGTTTTTCACAATCAAATAATCAATACTATAAGCCTATATAAATTAATTTACGAAAATCTGGTCCAATAACTGTATGTGATTATAATTACTAAGACTGAAAAATATTGTTAATTGTTTATATATTAAAGATAGATTAAAAAAAATTAAAATTTATTTAAATGAGGAATGAAAAGTAAAAATTACTAATATACTGTTGAAAATTACACACAAATATACGATAAATAACTCATATTTTTGCGGTCCCCGGTTTTCGTAAATCTAGTCTTTTTCCTGGACATGAACAACTACTTACTGCTTAGATTGCCACTGTTTTAAGTATTTTTAAAAAACTTTAAAAATACAAAAATTAATAAATGTAAGAGAAAAATATTTTATAAAAAATGAAATAAAAAAATTACTTTATGCACTTGTATGACAAGAAAAATCTTAAAAATGGTACTAGTCTATATATAAACAAACAATAAAACTTACTTTATAAAATACATTGGTAATATAATACGTGGATATAGTACTTATATCCACGTGGACTTCGTAACAATGTCCACGTGGTTTTAAAAATATAACAAACTCTATGGATTAAAAGTTTGTTTCAACCAATTTGCAATGATTATTTTACAATCACCTTGTAAAATATATTTCCGAATGATTAAGTATTAATATAATTCGAAAAACAAACAAATCGAATATCACTAACTCTAAAATTCTACTTAGTAAATTACCTAAGGAAAAAGAAAAAGCTTCAAATGAAAATCAATGACTCACTGATAAGCTGCTCTCAAAGTTAACTACTGACCCCTCGGCTGCGACGTACTGTGGGCATAGCCATGGCTATTGTTATGAGACAAAAACCATGCAGTGATAGAGGGGTAGCTTGTTATAAGTCAGTGATAATGCGAACTCAGGAATTTTCAGGTAAAAGTGATGATCCTATCTTCTCAAAAAAATGAGACAATATTCCTTTGGCGATGACTTGGCAACCATTATTTTAGGCCATTTTTGGAATTTGTTTCGAAACTTTTCTAGAATAATTATGATGTTTCTCAATAGTTTTTGGAGATTTTTTTAAAGATTCTATTCTATATGATAGCACAGCTGACATAATGTTAAATGCTTTGCAGGTATGCTAATGGCCCAAGTTCAACTCTTCGTATTTTTAATTTTTATTCCCTATTTTATACAACGTAATAATGTAGTAGATTTATAGAAAAGTGAATTTTGATAATTGTGTTGGTATTAGTAATACTTTAAAAAAACCCAAATAATTAATAAACTTGTAATACTATCAAAATTTACAAGAGCAAATAGGGAAAGATTACAAATCTTCCGGAAACAATGCCATTTTTTTTTGTTCCCCATAGTCCATAAACCATATATTATTTACTGGTTTTTCCATACCCTAAATTTATATGATTTTTTTATAATTATGACATCAAAAACATTCGTTAAAACAAAAGCTTTTTGTTAGTTTTACGAATTATTATAAAAAATTAAATTATTTAAAAATAATTTAATTTTTGGCCATTTAATTTTAACAATAAATAATTTGTTTTACCAATTATTATAAAATAATTGTTCTTTTAAACGTTAAAGAACAATTATTAACAAATTACTATGAACAAGAACACGTATTGCGCGCAGTTGCGTATTGCATGAAAACATTCCAATTTTTTCTTTTTCGACTGAAAATTACGCTCACGATTATTCAACGAGGCGTGTTTTGCGAAATCGTCAACTTTTTTTCAAACTGAAAATTACGCTCTGCGTGTATTATATGCCGCTGCGTATTGTATGAGATTGTTTAATTTTCCAGTCTGAAAAATTATGCTTCTTTGCGAATTATATGCCGTGACGTTTCTATTATACAAGAACGAGTTGGTTTTCGGGTCAAAAATTAGCCCCACGGTTTATACGCCCCTGCTTAATGTATGAGATCATTCATTTTTTCCGGGTGGAAAATTACGTCCGCGGATATACTACGAGACATATTTTACAAAATCGTCAACTTTTCCAAATTAAAAATACGCCTGTGGAATATACGCCACTGCGTAATGTATGAAAGCATTCAATTTTCGGGCTGAAAATAAAAAGCCTGCAGAATAATATGATAGTATTGCCGGATTAGGGCGGGGAATTACGGTAGGGATCATTCTGTATTTTTACATGTATTTTTTTTTATAGTACATGTACTGCTTTTGTCCTGTTTGGCTAATCGAATATGAGCGATAGGGATTGAAAGCAATTTTGAGATTACAAGAAAATAAATCACAAGTTGAATATATCGGATTCTATTGACTTTGTGATTCACGTTAGTACACATAGCATTACATGTCTAAACCCCATTGGATATATTCTTATATTGTATCGCAAGTAGTATATAAATATAGCATGACAAAAAGAAAATGTTCTTATAAAAATATGCGAGAAACAACTTGTTAAATATGTAACCTGCACTAGTGTTTGCACGGATACAGATTTTTGAGTACATAAAACATAAATTAGAAAAGTGTAGTATAAAAACTTGTTCACTTTCTTGTTTTTCTCTGAAAAAGGCTATCAAGGGTGCATTCGCCACACTTTATTTTCATCACTTTTATATTTTCGCCTTCTTTTTAAGTAGCTATTGATTATGATTTCAGTCAAAATGAATAAAAATAATCGTGATAGACTGTTCAGTTATGGATAAACTATACTCTTCTAATAGTTTATTTGAACTTCAATACTTTTCCCAATTTTTTTTATTGAACGAGTAAATTTTTCTGTTCCCATTGAATGATTTGTTCTGATTCATAATAAAGATTTTGTTTTTATTTGAATGCTTGTTCCGATGGTTGCAATTATGAATAATTCTTTAGAAATACATGTACATAATAATAATAATAATAATAATAATATAATATAATAATATGCGTGGCTCAGTGGCAAAGCTCAGTGGTGGACATTAGGGCTGTGTTCATATCTTGGCAGCTGACACACTGTTTCAAAAACGAAGAGACTCCATGGTGTTTGTGATGTTCACTGTTTCGCCTCGAGAGTCGGATTACCTAGTTGGTGTTTACACCGTGTTTTTCTCCGTGTTAAAATACAAAATATTGGCATACAAATAATCAGCTGGACTGATATAACGGGTGCACATAAAATTTAGAATTTGATTTACGAACCAGACATAACATCAATTAAAATAAAAAAAACCTATAGAATCCCAAATGATTGTCTTTTCTTGAAAAATCTCATTTTCCCTTTGAAATAAAATTGTCTCTGTTTTCAGCAGGCTATCTTTTAGAATGTTACATCATTTAACTTTTTTTAATTATATAATTATTAGCTCGTGAAAGAAATTGAAATACAAGAAATAATATAAAAATAATCGGCTCGGGCCCAATATAAAAAGTGTACCCATAAAATTTAGAATTTAATGTAAGAACAAAACGCTTAAC